TCAGGGAGGGTCTATATGTATATCCTAAATCCGTTTGTCATACATTACTCATAAAAATAAGCAAGCACATATAAAGCATATTTCCAAATTCAATATATGGGTCATGAATCATTCATCTGTAATACAGGAACGATACCATTTATGTGTTAATTTCCCCGTAAACTGAATACAATTTACTGTTAGCGACGCCCAATGAATATAAAAGATTTTAATATGGCTCTTAGAAAAACATTAAGTTGTCTCCTAATAAATGACTAACAGTAGTCGGAAGTGTAAATGGTTGAAGTGTAATTCAAGTCGTTTCAATTCATATGCAGGCATATGCAGCCAATGAACGTTTTTCAACTTATTTTAATAAGTTTAAATTGCTTCGTACGCCAGTTCAGTTCACATGTGTCTATTCTTGTCTGTGAGCCATAAGTGTATTGTCATTTGTTAAATACGACTATGTAAACATTTGTTTGATTTGGAACACATTTTTTTTTTAGTTTAATACTATGAAGATCTACGATTATTGTTTGCCTGTACGTCTGTATTTCTGAGGTGTTCAAATCGGGGGTTTCGGCCCCGAAAATAACTAAAATTCCATGTTGATCAATGTTTAGAAAGCTTTTCGATCCTTATCACTTTCTCAATGTCATTTATTAGTGAGGAAAGCCGCGGAGGCGAAACCTAAATACCCAGATACCGCGACGTTTTCGATAGCAGTTGTTAAATTTTGGGTCGCATAAATATATATCCTCTCCTTTTTTTCACAAAAACATCTGCCGCCTATATGCGTGAAACGAACAACAGAAATGGTTATTTTAATGGTTAGTATTATTTGTACGTTCAATGGAAAACGAGAGACCATTTCAGACGGGTGGCATTTTTAATATGCGAGACACTAATTTCCGCTTGCGCAAAAGTCTGGCAGGTGTGACATTATTATACAAATTAACTAACAGCTGTAAAACGGCAAAACACATTTTGCTCAAACAAAATGAACAATATGACGTACTCTTTATTGTTCTCGAATACGTACAGTGTATTCCACTATACAGTGTCTTTGAGTGACTTTTAGAAAAAATGGTTTATCTTATTCCCATTAGTTTGGAAATGAACTCAAATTTTTGTTTGTTATGTATTCATCAGTATCGGAAGCCAGTTTTCATCTAGCCGCAATCTAAAATAGAACCACGTACATATAATGTATTTGCAATATATTTTAGAATAAGATGTTAAATAAAGTCAGGAAAAAATAAAACTGATTTCGGGATAAATCTGGTGGACGAAACAAATGACTATGTTATAGTTTCAAGGCCTACTTAGGGCATTCTGCCTTTTTTAAATAACCAAGGTTTGGCAAAATCAATGTATGACGTATTATGCATTTTTGGAATCAGATTCAAAGACTCTATTGATCTGAGCAAAAAGCGTTCTTAAGAAAAAATAAAGTTGAAGCTTGAGGACCAGAGACAAAACGTCATATCGAAATTCTAATTATGCCCTCTTGTAGAGGAGAAAAAGTGGCAATGCTGATGAGCATTTTGCTCTAAAATCCCACTACAAATAGAGTTAGGAATCAATTAATACCATTTTGGAAAAATTCATTTTTTCCGTCTCTCTCCGTCAGTTCTTTGAATTTCCAAACCTTCTAAGCTGCATCTTCGTATCTCTTATAGTGTCCAAAATCCCAACGGTGAAGGTCGATTTTGGAACACCCTGTATATACAGGGTGACTTCGAAGTTGAGTCATTTATTTTAACAGTGAGTAGATCTAATCAAAAGAAATGTTTTTTCCTTTACCATTTTTCTGGTAAAATTAAAGTAACAAAGTTATAGCCCTTTGGAAGTTTGATACCGCCCTGTCTCAATAATAATATTATGTGCTCGTGTTTGGCAACAACGAATATAATCCGCCTTATCGGTTCATCGCATCGGAAACAAAAAAGCGAAAGAATTTGAAACGCTGATCACGATGTTTTTGTTCAGTCAATGTGTCAGTCGGTAACGCGTGAGTGAATAGTGGTGTTTGCTGCGTGGCTCAAACGAAATAAAAAATGGCACATGTTTATGCGGATCGGTTTCCCAATCGAGTGCAACCAACCCCTCGTGCATTTGTTAATGTATTACAACGGGCTCGTGAATCAGGTGACTTAAGACCTCACAGGGGACGGCATGCCGGTGCTCCAAGACCTCACGATCAAATACAGGTCCGCACTGAAATACTTGTCGGGAGGATACTTTATAAAACAAGGTAATTTTTTTTTTTATTTTTACACATATTTTGGTTTATCTTCCTTCTACAATCATTATCTGAAAATTAATGACTCAACTTCAAAGTCACCCTGTGCATTGTTATGGTTAAAGATAAATTTGGCTCAAAATTAGTGCACCGCGTAAAATTTGGGCCAGCTTAAACATCTCGGTGCTTTTTTATTTTTAGATCTATTTTGATGAATTTTTCGAGGAGAATATACCTTTCATCCAGTTATTTATTTTTCATTATTCGATGTTATTTTAAGACTAATTTTTCAAATTTATAAAAGCGGACGCCAGAATAATGAATTATCGTTTATTAGAGCATTGCGTTTTATGAAAAGTGTTACTTATTCGCGGTTGATGAGAATTGATTATTTAGTGTTGTGAAGTGATGTAAACTGTATAGATGAAAGATGAGTAGAAGAAGTCGATAATCCATGCGAGTACAAGCTAAATCTTCTAGAGCGAAGATTAGGGATAAAAGTATTTATTGGAAATACTCCAATGTCTGGTTGCAAAATTGTCTACGAAGTAAAATTGTAGATTATTATAACTCCTCTTGTTATTTGACATTAACTCTAAAATCTAGAAGATTATTGGTTGATGTGATGAATTTGGGATATGGCCTCCTTGATTTTCATAGTCTTTTCTCTCCTTCAAAAAGGCTACGGTATTTCTAAACATCTACTGTGAAGTTGTTTTATTTTGAATTGTAGGAAACTTCAGGCCGATCAAACAGATGATATAAATCGAAATTATGAACAATTCGATGCAAATAGATATTTGTGACATAACCTCAAAATAGAGCGCTGAATCGGAACAGTAGAAAACTATGAAAATCAAATAAGCCATAAAGGCGTCCTACAATTGTAGAAATGACATTTAGTAAGTCCTTTTAGTATCAAGAACAAAGTCATACCTATGGTTTTAATTAAAAATGATAAAGTAACATGAAAGTAAATGATCCATAAAAGATTCCAGTATGTTTAAACAATATATTAAAATGATTTTAAAATCTACGATACCTAGCAGCAATATTTGTTTGTTTCTTAAATGGAAGATGCAGCGTAAATGATACATTTGTATTTAATAATAATAAAAATGTATTTTTATTTGGGCGTATTTTAGCTAAAGCCATACAAAAAAATACAAACATGAATAAAATAGATGAAAGCCAATAGACTATTGATTCCCAAAGTGGTCTATATCGACCCCTAGGGGTCTATGACGACCTGAAAGGGGTCTACGTTAACGAAAAAAAACTTAGGGGTCCATGAAATGAATATGGGGGTCCACGATAGTGAATCTCAACACATACACTTATTGTACCTATTTACATACATCATACTATCTTATAATATCAAAACATATACATTATTTATAAAAGTACCTATGAAGTAAAAAGTTTATTATATATGTTTATAAAATTGTGTAAGTTGTAGGATGTTGGTATTCGCTTTGTGGTCGCAATACATTTTGAACTTGTAAAAACCTGAGAGTCGCAGTCTCAGAGCTACGCTACCTTGCACTGACTTGTTCAATTCGTCACTCTATAAATACGAATGTGGGACAAATACGTTTATTCGTTTCCTGAATATTGAAAAGGAAAGTGCTAAGAAAATATTTTAAAAAATATAAACAGATAGTAAATCACACAAATTATAGTGAGTCAGTGTTATTTTGTTTGAGAGTGCTGGAGAAAAGTAAGTACATTATTTTTTATTAAATTTTAGTTTTGTACTTGTAGTTAGCAAAGATAGATAAATTACGCCAATCATGACTTTAGTTATTAGTAGTTAAATATTCAATCATGTAAAATTACACGAGTACTCCTCAATAGTTTCTTTTTGAAAGTTTTAGCAATCGGTAATATAATTACAGTGCAATCTCCGTAATTCGAGCTAATTGTTGCAAGAAGATGTTCGAATTATGGAATATTTTCGGAAAAATCAAAAAATATTTTTAATATACTGCTGCAGGATTTTCTGTCTTATTTAAATTATTTAATTTTGCCCACAGATGACTGATGCCATGTCCGAATCTAAAAAGAAATGTAGACAGTACAGTGTTGATTATTTGAAATTTTTCATTGAAAAAGCAATTCCTTTATCAAATATAATATCAGTAGCTACAGATGGAGCACCTACCATGGTTGGACGTTATCGTGGATTTATAAGCTATTTAAAACAAAATGTGTCAGGGGTGTTAGCAATACATTGCGTCAGCATCGACAACATTTAGTTGCTAAAAATTTGAGTGTTAGATTGCATGAATCACTTCATTTAGTCATTGATGCAGTTAACCGAATCCGAAGCAACGCGTTGAATACGCGGTTATTTGCGCAGTTGTGTGAAGAAAATGACGAACACTTTCATCAATTACTCCTTCACACTGAAGTACGCTGGCTGTCGAAAGCCTTATGTTTGACAAGATTTTTTGCACTTTTTGAGACTATTTTAGAATTTCTAGATACTAAAGATAAAATATTAAAAGGAAATTTAATGAAGAGAAAACAGACATCGCCTATTTAACAGATTTGTTTACAAAATTTAATATGGTTAATTTGCAATTACAAGGCGACAGTTTAAATTTGATTTAAACAAAGTCCATCTTATCAGCGTTTCTTGCCAGAATCAAACTAATGAAGCAAAATATTGGACGGGGCGAATTTTCTCAGTTCCCCAATTTGCCACAGACAAGCTGCCAGGAAGACGACGTTTCAACTTACGTTCAACATTTAAATGCCCTCTATTCAG